GCCACATGACACCCTCGTTAACTGTAGGCCTTAGAAACAGATGACTTTTACATCATCTGCACTATAGAACGCAAGGTCTGAAAGGGAAACTTTATTTACTATTTGAAACCCTCAACATTTCACTCACATGGAGTTGAATGATGACGACTATGTTAGCTCGGGTCTCTTGTTCAAGTTGTTCTTTAATTATATTTATCATTTTGTATTCTCAGAGAGAAAAAAATTGTCCTGCTGTATTCTAACGACACTGAGTTATTGAACCTAAATATCACCAAAGCCACAACACTGTACAGTTTCTTCAATGATTCAAAGGTAAGCGCCATAACGTATTGGAGATCCTCGTGTGTGTTATATGCTACACATTCTTGTGAGCATAATGTATGTGTTTAGATCTTCACGGTAGGCTTGTTTGTATTTAGATCTCTTTTTTTTTTTACTTGGTCTCCATATGTTTCTTAGTTTGGAGTCATCAAACCGAGGCTGAGGAGATTCCCGTGTATACAACTTGAGAGTGTGGTAGAAACTTACGAAGGAGTTTCCAGTGACCTAACGAAACGAAACGTAAGTATCTGACGTTGATAGGTCGGCAAGGAAATCAAAGTCTTGCAAGACTTAACTTACATCAGAGTTGATTAAAGTTAGCGAAATCGATAGAATAACTAGAAAATATTGCTCAGCCCTGAACTGAATTCTTGATCTATCAATTTAGTTTAAAAGAACAATACAGAACTGTAGGCCATATTTTTACTGGGCACCAGGTATTTTCTCTCAACTCGGTGTGGTGAGGAAGATCACCTATCCCTTGATAACATAGTCCTAGCCAAAAGCCCGTGGTTCTAATCCTTGTAAAATTGTGAAGACATTTATCCCAAGACCATAGATAGTCTGCAAGGAAATCAAAGTCTTATATCAGAGTTGATTAAAGTTAGCGAAATCGATAGAATAACTAAAAAATATTGTTCAGCCCAGAACTGAAGTCTTGATCTATCAATTTAGTTTAAAAGAACATTGTCGATAGGCAGGTGTAGACATAAATCTATGCCAGGATGATAGGCAAATGGAGGGGCGGTGGCTGAGCGGTAAAGCGCTTGGCTTCCGAACTGGGGTCTGGGCTCGAATCCCGGTGGAGACTAAGATTTTTTATTTCGGGATCTTCGGGCGCCTCTGAGTCCACCCTTTTACATCATCTGTCCTATAGACTATGTCTAGTTGTCATGTAAATGTGAACAGAATACGTAGTAGGCTAAAACGAGCAGGCGTATTATTAAGAGATTTGAAACAGCTAGATACAATATTAATGTGCGTATTTTTACCACAGCCTACATTTTATAAATCATCGGATCAAAGGTAAGAAATATAGATCTACATAGGCTACATAACAGCCAATAGTTCAGGGCCGCCTTAAGCATCTTATCTTATATAGTACACGCTGAAGATTAAGATTTTGAATTTCGGGATTTTTAGGCCGCCCTTGAGTCAACCCAACTTTAATGGGTACCTGGCTTTAATTGGGGAAAGTAAAGTCGGTTGGTCATTGTGCTGGTCACATTATAACCCTTCTTGTTAACCATAGTGCTAAGAAACAGATGACCTAACATCATGTACCCTATAGATCGCAATGTCTAAAAGGGTAACTTTATGGAATAGTGTTGCCGGAGTCAGGACACCACTCATATGTATTATTAACCTTTACTTCCTCAAAGGAAACTGTTTCTAATGCAAAAACAAGTGATCTTATCTGATCGAAACAACCAAACATGCATTAAAAGCATTATCGGAGATCGCAATATTAACAATACTATAAATCTTTTTTTTTTTTTTTTTTTTTCAGGGAACAACTGTAACTGCCACGTCCAAGAGATCTCTAGTGGCTCTGGATGCACCTCTGACTCAAGAAGAGCGTGAAAAGTTGTTCAATCAGTCCACTGCCGTCAGCATTCACTGCAAAAGGCGAGATGTTGTCAAGGCCAAGCCAGGTTCAGGTAAGCTAAGGGGCATTTTCTTTCTCCTGCCTCTTAGTGGCAACCATGGAGAAAGCATATTTGCAAGGGCAATGATAATCATCATCATTATCATCAAACTTCATTTGAGTGAGGGCTTGAGAGGCTTAAATCCTCTCTTGCAAAAGCCCTGGACAGAAGCCCTGCTGTCTTGGTAGTGCGTACACGTCACCATACTGGTCGAGAATTTTTTGTTTCCCAGACCTGTCGATTCGGAGATCAGCAAGTCTGGGGCAGTTAAACAGAATATGAGGCACGGTTTCCTCTTCTTCCCCGCAGCGGGGTCACCGTGAATCGAATTTGGCCATAGCCGTGAGAAATATGAGCCAACAGGACAGTGGCCTGTCCTGCACTGTGCTATAATAGACTGCTCAGGCCTGGACAGCCTCCACCAAGGGGAAGTGCGGTCAAGGCGCCTCATGCGCTCCCAGACTCCACGGGCTTTTTGGGACTAGTCCCAGCACTCAAACCACTTTTCCATTTCTTTTTTTTAAAATTATAGCCAGGGCATGATGAAAACTTACAGCCTGTTCAGATGATGGAATTTGCCCTACCTGGTGGGCCAAGGAGTCTGCAATAGTGCTGCCAGTCACACCTAATATTACTCGGTACCCACTGCATTATTAGATGCAGTGGGTACCGAGTTTATGTTGTGTTGTGCCTCACTCCACTTTCGTGGCAATGATAATCAGACGAAGAAAACATTGTGAGAATAAAGAGCTGACCACGAGCACGGTGGTTTGATGACGTAGAGGCAGATCTACAACAGCTAAGAGTTCAGGCCTGGAGACGTAAAGCCCAAGATAGATCCGAAGGGAAAGATGTGCTAGAGCAGGCGAGGGCCCTTCATGGGCTGTGGTGCCACTGAATGGTTGAAAAATAAAAGAGAAATGTTGTGCCAATGCTCATTAAATCCAACCAACTGCTGTTAGCATGGGCTAGTTATCTCCAATGATTCTTCCAATTAGTACTCAACTTCTTTGAGAACCACTTGAAGTATTTAAAATTCCTGCATTCTCAAAAAATTTGTCCACTTTGCTTGACAAAGCAAATTGAAGCTACCTTTTTGTTTTTAAAGAGAGAGAGACTAATAATAATAATAAGTCTGAATATTGATGAGGAATGCAGTATTTCCGTGCTACGCAGGCCAAGCGGTGACTTACATATTTTGCCATATGTAGCGCAGGCATAACCATCGTCTGCTGGAGGTCGATTTAGATTTTCTTTTCGCTATCTACGTCTGTCCTCGCAGTGGATTTTCTTCTGGTCTCAAATGTGTATCCCGTGGCCTTTGTAAGTGACCTTCACCTGTCTCGTTCTGAAGCCTCATGCAACCAGGTGCTTTCTTCTAGTCAGTTAAAGCAAATTGGCGCCTAAGCTAGTCTTTAAAGCGTTTCAATGGGGCAGCTGTTAAGTTGACCACCTTTCAGCTCACCGAAAAAGACTGCTTTTGGCATACATTAGAGGTACGGTGGCTCAGTGGTAAAGCACTTGGCTTCCGAACCGAGGGTCCTGGATTAGAATATGAGATATTTTAATTTCAAGATCTTTAGGCGCCTTGAGTCCACCCAGCTCTGATGGATACCTGACATTGGGAAAAAGTAAAGTCGGTTGGTCGTTGTGCTGGCCACATGACACCCTAATAAATATAGGTCACAGAAAAAAATGACCTTTACATCATTTGCCCTATAGACCACAAGGTCTGAAAGGGAAACTTTACTTTTTACTTTGGAATACGTTCGTCCCCCATACGGGGTACATGCCCTTCCCATTGTAACTGTCTGACAATAAGAAGTCCCTCTATACTGTCCATACCGGTGTTAACAAGGACATCGCTGTTTGTAGTGCGCCCTTGCCACTTCTTGTCCATGATGGAGCGCAAATAAGCACATATAAACATTTAGTTCAATTAAATCTTCAACGTTTATAAGGTCTTTTATGGCTCACCCCCCAAAACAAAAAACTATCTGTCTCTTTATCTATAAATAATACTAACATTTTCTTCTCTAATTTGGTGTTTTTAATTATAAAGGTTCTTCAACTAATTAAGTTCCTATTTGTCATAGACATATAGGCCTGTGTTATTAATATACAAATCAGCTTAGCTCAGATTTGCTTATTTTCAATTATATAGGTACAGGTACTTTAAAAACTGAAGACATCAAAAACTTACAGTTCCTAGAGCTAAATGGCCTCCTGACAGTTACAGTACCAGCAAAGTTGCGCAACTCAATTAGCAGAAGGCGTTTTGGAAATGAGACTCCTGCCAACAAGACTAAAAGCCCTTAAAATCAATATCCCAAAGGAACTTCCAATTACCCTGGGCCTCATGAGCCCATAACCATTTCATAGTTTAGTGAAGTTCTTAAATAAAAAAAAATAGTGTTCAGTTAGTATTGCTCCCACCACCTTTTCTTTATGCTAGACTGCTGGGTCAAACTAAATATTGACTCAAAAGATAAGCCAACTCAAGACTGAACCTTTTAAATTGATATGAAGTCTAATCGGCCTAATGCTTGTAATATTTTTTTTAAATTTTATTACTATTTTGTATTGTATTTGAATAAAACGGAAGCCAGTAATAAATGTATAAGAGCCTGCATAAAAATTGGCTATTATTAAATATTCTTAAAGTGTTTACTGAATTTATAGGAGGAGATTATAAATTCTTTATATTACTTTAAATATTCAATTTCTTTCTTTTTTTTTTTATGGTCTCATTGCAAATTTTTTTGGAGTAAAAAGTTACAACGAAAAAATATCAACTAAAATTATTAAATTATAATGCATAATAATAAAATGTTTTGTTTTCCTTAACTTAGCTGGCAACCTAACTGTGCCAGACTTTTATCAAAAGCAAACTTTATCACAAAGACTCTTGGGCACTGATGAACATGAATGTTCTATGTTTTGACTTTTTTAAAAAATAAGATTGTTTTAGTGTCTTTGGAAAAAAGGAAATGTGATAATGAATTCTCTTTTTCATGTATTAAATCTTATCTCATAAAACTGATTTTAAAAAAATTGGTGTTGTTGAGATATTAATAGAGAAATCTTCTTTCTACTGTATGCCCGGTGTGGGAGAAACAAGTGGGAAATGCAGGTTGGGAGAAACAGATGTGGCAGAAGTAGAGGCTTACATTAGATTACAAAAAAAAAAAAATATACAAAGTATAATCAGCATGCTAGCACCTTGTTTAGCGTTTAAGAAATTTAGCATTAACAACAATCAATTAACTAAAAATTTTAGGGTTTTAGAGCACTTTGACAATAATCACAACAGCTAAATAACATAGGAACACCAACCCTAGAGCAAACTAATTTTACTGTTTAATAAAAATGTTGAAGATTTATAGGATGGGTTACAATGAATTTGTCATACTCAATATCTCTGAGTAAAAATTCCTAACTCTGGTAAATACTTGAAGGGCTTTGAACGAGCAGGTCCTCTGAAAAGAATTAACACAGATAATATTAAATAAACAGAGATTATATTGAATTCAAGACTCAAACAAAAAGCACTGAATGATTTAAAAAAAAAAAAGTCACCTGAAAGGGCTTATCGTAACAAATATCATATTAATTAAAAGATTTAGGGTACTGTAATTTGTTATTCAATTACATTTGTAAATAATACAATGTTGCTTTAGTATATAGTTCATATTTAAATTTTACCATAAAATATGACAAAATATGACAATACATAAAGATTTAATGTTGCAGGGAAAAACAAGTGCATAGAGAAATAAAAAAAAACAACATAAATTAAAAACATAAATTAAAGAAACCTTGCTGACCAAATAAAAAACATAAATTAAAGAAACCTTGCTGACCAAATAAAAAACATAAATTAAAGAAACACTGCTGACCAAATAAAAAACATAAATTAAAGAAACCTTGCTGACCAAATAAAAAACATAAATTAAAGAAACATGGCTGACCAAATAAAAACGATTTTCAGGCCCAAATGTTATTTGTTTTACATTGATTTAGTAGGGTTTTATATTTCTATAATTATATTTCTTGTATTACCGAAAATAATTGTGACTTACACTTCAGATACTATTATTTTATTTTCTATAGTCTTACTTTTTAAAACATACATTTTTTAAAATGAGGTTCTTTTGTAACTCAAAACAATGACATGTTGCCTCCATAAATTGAACCTTTAGTATGCCAAAGGTTGCTTTATGAACAGTAAAAAATCTATCAGAAAAATGCTTTTTTTGTACAAAAATGACAGTGTATGTACATGACAGTGTATGTACATGACAGTCTAATCAGGGCGTGATCTATGCTTTTGAATTTTGTAACTAAAGGCTATACTACTCAGTCTACAATTATCAAGTGTTGAAGTAACTGAGGGCTATACTACTGAGTCTACAACTATCAAGTGTTGAAAACCTTATGATAAAATAAAACAACACCTTTTTTTCTTAGTTAGCTAACAAGAATATACGCATGAAGGGATCACTCTGTGTGACTCAAACTGATGGAGAAAAGTACAGCTGAACAGAATTAAGTTGATAAGAGAATCTTCACAGATTTATCCCTAGCTTCAATTATATTTTATCAGGTTTGAATGCTAAATAAATGATTTGCTTTTAACAAAAAGGAAAGATAAAATACATGCCAAAAGATTTGTACCTTGTAGTTTTTAAAAGTTATGCTTATGTTGTTTGATGCATTACAATAACTTTATAAGAGACAAAATTAAGCATAGTTCATTTTCAGTATCATTATTATTAATCTTTGTTGAGAACATATTTTTTTTTTTTTTGTGTGAAAAGAGATTTGTTAAAAGTGGCTTAAGAATCTAAAAAGACAGTTACAGATGAGAACTGCAATGTACTGGGGAAGGATAATCAAATGTAAGTGTACCTGCTAGTTCTTGGCATGATCTTTTCTTTTGGTATCTCCACTGGCACAAGGGTTGATGCTGGAGTGTCTGTCTCCAGGTAGACATCAAAGCACATCAACAGCCTTTGTAGCTGGTTGGGCAAGAGCTGATTCTGCTGCGTACTGCTGGACAGCTCTTGGTAATGCAGATTGACCTCCTCCTCCATCTCCTGATAGATAAAGTAATGATAACATTAGCTGATCTGAGATTAGTTGCAGAGATTAGACAACATTAACCTTTTGTACCTGACATCCAATTAAACAGTTTTATGCACCTTAACATAAATTGACAAGACATGAGAAAATAATTTCACATACTGTTCAACTTTCAGTAGACAACTGTAATAGCAGTGCATACGATAAGTTAACATTACAATTAATTAAGTTTAAAAATGAAAAGACATGCTTCAATGCTGGTAAAAAAGTGTGTTGAAATACTGAAATTAATTGAAACAGTAAATTATATCCTAAAGTAAAATGGAAATAGACTCTGAAAATCAATAAGATCTGGATGAAACCAATCAATAAACAATGAAGAAACATCGGTAGATTTAGGAACCCCAATCATGTCAAGGGGTGTTCCTCTCAAATTTTATCTACATCTATATTTGATTCAGGCTGATAATTAGCTAAAAAAGAATAGTGGGGATATAAAGTAGCATATTCCTTAAAAAAAATTAAGTTCATATTTAAAATATTACATGCTTTGTTAAGTTTGACAATTTCTTAGGAGCTCAAGAGAAGGGGCATGTAAGGCAGGGGGCTCTGGATTTAAAAGGTTAAAAGCTAAGGTTTTAAAGGTGTTTTAAGTCCCTAAAGTGGACTAAATAGAAAGCTAGCTCATAAAGAACAATATCAAAATGCTTTTTGCTAAAAATATTGCATTTTGAAATAAATTAAAAACTTTAAACTGATACTGAAGTTTGAATATTTCCTAATAAAATAATTTTAGAACAGAACTCTTTTAAATTTAATTAATTAAAGCATTTACAATGTTACTAACTAAAAAAAAGAAGATAGAAAAAGGAATGTTCAGGTCTAAGGCAGTAGAGTAGAACAAAAGATGATGAGTTGGTAGAAGTGTCTTCAGTGGTTTCTTACTAACCCACCTATTATATTAGTCATAAAAAAAAAATGCAATAATAAAAATCTGAGAAGGTATTTTTTTTATACTTATGTTTAGTGTAAAAAAAAAAAAAAAAAAAAAAAAAAAAAAAGCCATCAAAATTTAATTTCTTTTAACTTAATAATCAAAGCGTGCAAAGAACACTGTCCAATAAATAATATTAAACAACCTTGACATTGTCTTACCATTACAAAGATATCTGTCAAGGCAGTTCGCTGGGTCTGCCACACAATGTCCAGTATGAATAGTGGTGGGACTTGTGGGTAATCGGCAGTCAGCACAACATGGGCATTCATTTTGGCTGTTGGTGAGCATGAAAAACATTTGTTAAAAGCACACTTTTCAAAGACCTAGAAATAATACTGTTCTATTTCAGTGATTCTAAAATTTAACAATGAGACCTCCACAAAAACATACAATTTTAATTTCTTATTACAGACTTCAGCAATGTTAAATTGTACTAAAGTTAATTGTATTATGTTTGTATTATAATAAATACATAATACAGCTTTTGTTTGTATTATAATATTATTATATTACATATTATAGTTTATGTTTGTATAATGATAAATCAAGCTATCTACAAAATATATTTAAGTAAATTAAACAGTTAATTATTTTTTAAAATGATAAATCACACATAGTTTATGTTTGTATAATGATAAATCAAGCTATCTATCTATATATATAATTCTCTTCATGGCTCAACCATTCCAAATAACAAGAAGTCATGGAAAGATTACTCTTTTATTTCTGCAAGTCAGATTAGAGTTACTCCACATTACTTTAGCGGCAGAAAAAAAAAAGAGGGGGAGAACAAGTAGTATTCACAGGCCAAGTTTGGGTAGGGATATGGATAATAAGTGAAAATTATGAGTTTGTGTTAGAAAATAAATTTGTCTTTGCATTTTATTCATTCTTTATTGCATACAGAATTACTTCACAAGCCTTGATGTAGCGAAGTCATACAGTATATCATAATTTCTGTTTCCTACATAGATCACACTCAATAGCAAGAATTACCAAATGTTTCAATCTATCTTCAAGAATTGTTAACCTTAAGTAATTCTTCATTAGTTTGATGCATAATGCTGTTTTTTTTAGCACGTAGGATTTGCGTTTTCCATATTGAATGACACCATAACATGTCAATTTTTGTCTATATATTTTAGGAGATTTTTATGAGTTTTCAAAAGATTTTAATAATTTCCAGAGATTTCCAGGAGCTCCTGGGAAATCTGTTATAAGTTATAAAATGGTTTAATTTAATAATTTATAGACCTAGAATTAGCGTGGGTCCTATGAAAGTGCAGGGCCCACTGCGGTTGCATAGGTTGCAGAAGTCTAAGGCCAGCCCTGCAAAATTGTGGCGTATGCTACGCCGTGGGTTGACGTAAAATATAAATAATAAATTAAAACTGTTCATTGTTTTCATTGAAGTGTTGCAGTAAAGTAAAGCTCATTAATGTCAATAGATAAGAAAAAATATAGAAAGAGGTTTCAGTCTATCCTATTGATAAGTACTTTTACCTACCTGATCCCCTGTCTATAACAGCTTGGAATATAATACTGGATGATCTGATCAGTCCAGACTTCAAGAATCTCTTAGCATGAGCTAGAGTCTGGAGGTCTTCCCAAGTGCAACGACTCCATGTGGACAAGTGAGCATTAATTTTGGCAGGGAATTGTTTCACAAAGTCAACACTAACAGGGATTATGCCCCGTTCTAAACAAAAAAAAAACAAAACAATGTGAATACAAATCAAAAGATGGAAAAAAAAAAAGAATGTTTAATAACAAACTTGAAATTTGTTAGCCAAGGAAGGAAAGCATGTCATGAAGTTAACTTTGAAGATAGATCTTTATGTTTAAAAATGGAAATTCATAAGATATATATATATAACAGTTTTAATGTTAAAAAACAACATAAACAAAAAAAAAGCTCAGAAAATAGGAAGAACACTGACCTAGAGAAGACAGTTGTTGTAGAAGCGATAGCCTTGACGAGATTCTCTGACGAAGCAAGGAAATGGTCTTTTGTATATTGGCAGCACAGATGCTGTGTTTGGCTTGCACTGGTAGCCTTGCTATGTTGGACAAACCATCAGCATCCTCTGCAAGGCTGATCTCCTTTTTGAGAAATTGCAAGCCACCCATCAACTGGCACCAAAGGTAGGGTCTACCAACAAGTGGAATGTAGGTTGAAAGATCCAGTAAGCTGAAAAACAGTGGTGAATGATGAATCAAAAGTTAATTTTGATTGGGGAGGGATGATAAAAAGGGATTAAAAATGGTTAAAAATTAGATAACAACCCTAGACAATTTAATTGCATTGGAATTATTGTGTAGAAACATAATTGAGAGGGATCCATAGAAAATTCAATACTCTACGCCTTTATTAAAATATAAAAATCAAATGAGACTTTGTCTGCCTTGGAAGCGGTGGATTTTTAGGGAGGCTCTGAGTCCACCCAACTCTAATGGTCATTGCACTGGTCACATGACACCCTGCTTGTTAACCCTTGGCCAAAAAAAAACAACAGTTGACCCTAGCATCAACTGCCCTACAGACTGCATGGTTTAAAAGGGGATTTTTACTTATACTTTCTGCCTTGGGCGGATTCTTTTAAGTGTCTATAGCCATCAGTACACTTCTTAAATGTTAGGTTTTGATTTTGAAATAATGCATAAACTACAGACATCAAAAATATATTGAACCAAAAGATTCTATAAATTACCCATGTTTTTTCAGTTCATAGTGATTGGCTGGATTTGGTGAGTCATTGCCAAAATCCCCAGGATAAAGTTCATCCAAAATCAAATCAGGGGACAGAAGATCTCTGAAAAAAAAAAATCATGCTATCAAATTATTTCTATCAACCAACAAACACCTCAGAAAGGCAAATCTATTAGAAAGAAAGATTGCAAAAACAGAAAAGCCAGTCTAGAAATCTTAAGGACAAAAAATTAAAAAGATTGGCTTTGATTTTTTTTTTCTGAAAGAAGTATTTATTCAATTAAGCCAAAATTTTTTTAATGCAACCAAAATTTGTTTTCAGATTGGCTTAAACTTAGTAAGCCCTTCTTTGGATTTGAAATGCTACTGCATTAAATTATTTTTAAGTGCTGTTTTGCAGGAATCAGTCTTTGTATTTATAATTAAAACCCAAATGCATATATATCATTTTATGTCATTGTAAAAACAAGCAAAATATAAAAAATAATTCAAAACAACTCCTTAGCTTATATAAGGGAAAGAGCTGCCATATATATATATCAGTATGAAAATTTTTTACTTTTTCCTTTTCTAAATCAAACAAATTTAAATAGTTATCACTATCTAATTAATTAATTTTTTTTTTTTTCATTGATTCCTTTGTTAGGGACAATGAATAATTGTGCAAAGTTTCAACTTGATCAGGGAATGGGAAGTGGAAGAAATAAGGTGTACAAAATTTGTACCAGACAGAGACGAAGTGAGTTGATATAAGTTTTCTTAAGTAATTATCATTTGTATATAAAAGTTGTAGCTCTAATACAGATTTCCTAATATGAAAAAAAAAATTTTGTGTTTTGATCATATTAGGAAAAGTTAGGTTATAATTTCTAAAATCCAATTTGATAAATTCATACAAATTACAGGTTCAACTCACCCTCCAGTGATGGAACTTAATGTTCCCTTTTCACTTAAGTTTACTTTGACAGTAACAGTGATGATATTCAGTTCCATGAGATAGCAGAAGGTAAGCTCGAGTTCAGTGCCATCTAGTGGGGAAAAACATAAACACTCAAGAAAATAATTTATGAAAGCTTTCAACATATCTTCTAGTTAAATTCATTTAGAAAACATTTTTTATCTATTGTACAGTAGGCACTTTGAAGACTACCACAGAAATATAAAATAATGCCTCCCTGACATCTGCTTTTTACTACAAAGAGGGTTCTACTAGTGTTTTGTGTGAACATTTATGATACTGCCTGGGTTGGGTGGTTAAGTGATTTGAGTGAGTTTGAATTCAGATATAGCAACTATAGATAGTGAAGACATTTTTGAGTTGTCAAAGCTAAGATAAGTACATGAATTCAGCTGGCCATTAAAAAATGGTCGGTCATACTGCTGGCCATACAGTATTCTTGTTTGTAATTTATTAATAATCTATTATATAAATCTCTGGAAGTTTGTGAAAAGCAACAATTATTACCAGTGTTAAGACACAAGACTCTCTAGTAATAAGTAAACACACAACTGAGAGATTAAAATTTCTAAGAACTTTAATCTTGCTACAAAGAATATTACTATAACATTAACTCTTTGACTCCGGAATTATGTTTCATACTGCAACGAAATTCAGGATTAGTAGCACTTTTGCATGACAAACTTGAAGAAGATTTTTGGAGGTTTTTAAAGGAGGAAATGTGTGATATAAATATGGATACATCAGCTGCGTGAAGAGGGGGGAACTGATGTGTGGGTGACATCGTTCCGAGCACAGCTAATGCCCAGGCATTCATCTCACCAAGATGATCCATAGTCCCTTCGCGACTGAAGGAGGCCATATATATATTGTGTGCATGCAGGCAATGAAAAACATACACAGTACTATACATTTTTTAAATCAGTGATTGGCACTTGAATATGTAAATCATAAATATCTTGCCAACATCCGACCAAGAACAGAAACAATGTCATCAACTGTGTATGTCCATAGAAAATATAATGAAAGATATCTTTTAATCTAGTAACAACTTGACTCATCCCTAAACCTCAAGCATCCATTTTTTGTCTTTTTATTCAAAAGATTTTTAAATAACATTACAAATGGTTGTTATTCATTTGTTTTTTATAACAAACATTCTTAGAGATGCCTAAACAAATTATGGAAATGTACATTTTTAGTTCATATGTGTATAGAGTCATGGTGTGTAATTTAGGCAATATTTTATTCTCTTAGATAATGTGTTCAAATCCTCCTCACAAATAGAGACAGTAATATATATATAGGGCTATTTGTATTTTTAGAACTGTCTCACTGATTATTTATAAAAAGAAAACATTTTAAAAGCTGCATTATTAGGTACTCTTAATATCCAACCCCACCCCCCCAAAAAAAGACTGTATTTTTAGACAAAATTATGAACAATAGACAAAACAAACTAAAAAGTAGACAAGATAAAAGTATTGCTCCTTCTATTGTAAATCTAGTCACTCTAGATCTAGCAATAACTTAGAATGTAGGGCTGGAGGTGCCAACTATTGAAGTTCTAAGGAGGCAGATTGGACTGCAGGACTTTGTGCTAAAGAGGGGTATGGTAGGACAAAACTAAGTTGAAAATGATGCTGACATTTGAGTACTGAATAATGTTTATTTTTTTGCATTAACCCATATCACTACCATCCACAACATAAATGTTAAGAAAATAGACCCCACTCTTTCTCTGTAAAACACATTGAAAGAAGGAAATTCTGGGTGTTTTGCAAAGGGAAACTATTCAAACAA